CAAAAAAACACTAGTTTCAGATTTGCACTGGACAAGAGGGAAAAATGTTGTACCTTTCTCTTGGGTCTAAAGTAATGCATTAAAAACTTTGGAAATTTCAAGTTTGGCGCACACAAAAGTATGCAAATTCTTCAGCAGCATTGCTTGAGGGCTTGTGTTAACACTTAAAATTCTGATATGGATGAACTTGTCAATCAAAAAGAATCAATGTAAGAATCTACATTAGAATATTTTAAAAATAAAACCACTGACATTATAAATAATAAACTCGGAGGGATTACATTTGGGGATAAATATTTTTAAATGATATGAATTGAAAATAACTAAAAATATATAGGCAAAGAAAGAAGAAGAAAATAAAAATGGTACATTACCAAAAAAAAAAAAACAAACAAAAAAAAACTAAATACAAGGCAGTATGGAGGAACTGAAGAACAAAAAGCACGTAAGACATACAGAAAACAGCTAAATGGCAGAAGTCCTTCCTTATCAGTAATTATTTTAAATGTAAATGTTGTAAAGTCTCCAATTAATGGGCAGAGATGGGCAGGATGGATTTAAAAAATGATTTGTCAATATGCTATCTATAAGAGACTCACTTTAAAAACACAGACACTGTATTTTTACTTTGAAGAGGATGAAAATAAAAGAATGGAAAAAATATTCCATACAAACAGTAACCAAAAGTGATATGGGGCGGCCCTATTTTTGTCAGATAAAATAGACTAAAGTATCAAAAAAAAGTTACAGGAGACAAAGGACATTATATATTGCTAAAAGGTTCAATCCATCAAGAAGATAGGTAACAATTATAAACACATAGGCACCCAGTAACAGGGCCCCCAGATATATGAAGCATGCACTCACAGAATTGAAAGGAGAAATATGACAATCCTGCAATAACAGTTGGACATGTCAATATTCCCATTTCAATAATGTAAAAAAGAGTCAGATCAGTAAAGAGAGGAACTGAACACTATAAACCAATTAGCCCCAACAGACACACACCAAACACTCTACCCAACAACATTTTCCGTAGAATGAGACATACTTTCTCAAATATACATGAAGCATTCTCCAGAACAGACCATATGTTAGGCCACAAAACAAGTCTTAATAAATTTTTAAAAACTGACATCATGCATACTATCTTCTGTAACCATAATGGAATGAAATTAGAGATCAATAACAGAAATAAAAAGGATAAGAGACTATTATGAAAAAGTTTATGCCAGCAAACTGGATATAACAGATTAAATGGACAAATTCCTAGAAACACACAAACTACCAAAACTGACAAGAAATAAAAAATCTGAATAAAATTATACATAACAAGGAGACTGTATCATTAATCAAAACCTCTGAAAAAAGAAAAGCCAGGACCAGGTCACCTCACTGCTGAATTCTACCAAACATTTCAGGAAGAATTAACACCAATCCTCAAACTAAAGAGGAGAGAACACTTCCTAATTCTTTCTATTAAGCCAGCATTACCCTGATACCAAATCCAGACAAAAACACTGTAAGAAAAGAATAACTACAGGCCAAATACCTTATGAATACAGGCAAAAATACTCAAAAAAATTAGCAAACTCAATTCAGCAGCGTATTAGAATTACATACCATAATCAAGTGGGATTTATCCAAGGAATGCAAGAGTGGTTTAACATACGAAAATCAATGTAATATACATCAACAGAATATAGAAAACAAATCATCTTAATTGATGGAGAAAAAGCATTTGAAGAAAACCCAATATTCTCAAGATAAAAATAATCAACTAGGAATAGAAAGGAACTTCCTTAACATGTTAAAGACCATACATAGAAAGACACAGTTAATAGCATACTCAGTGGTGAAAGATTGAAAGCTTTGCCTGTAAGGTCAAAACAAGACAAGGACATACTCCTTCATCACTTCAACATAGTACTGGAAGTCCTAGACAGAGTGATTAGGCAAGAGAAAGAAATAAACAGCATCCAAATTATAAAGGAGGAAGTAAAACTATCATTCCTTGCAGGTAACAAGATCTTATGTGTAGAAAACCCTAAAGACTCCACAGAAAGCCTGTTAACGCTAATAATCAAATTTAGCAAAGCGGCATACAAAAGCAACACATTAAAATTACTTGTATTTCTATACACTAGCAATGAAAAATATCCAAAAAGAAATTAAGAAAACAACTCCATCTACAATAACATCAATAAGAATAAGAAGATTATGAATAAATTTAAGGCAAAAGACTTGTATACTGAAAACTACAAAATGTTGCTGAAATTAAAGATGACCTAACTAAATGGAAAGACATCTTGTGTTCATAGATTGGAAGATTTAATATTATTACGATTATAATACTACCCAAAGTGATCTATAGATTCTAATTTAATGCAATCCCTATCATAATCCCAATGGTGTTTTGTTGTTGTTGCAGAAATAGAAAATTCCATCTTAAAATTCATATGGAATTTCAAGAGACTCTGAATAGCTACAACAATCTTGAAAAAGAGAACAAAGTTGGAAGACTCACATTTTCTGATTTAAAACGTTCTAAAGACAGTAATCAAAATGTTGTGCTACAAACCCTTATGGACAGACATATAGACGAATGGAACAGAACTGACAGCCCAGAAACAAACCTCACATCTACGGTCAACTGATTTCTGAGAAGGGCACCAAGACCATTCAATAGGGAAAGGACAGTCTTTTCAACAAATGGTGCTGGAAAAAAAAAAATTGATATTCACATGCAAAAGAATAAAGTCGGACCCTTACTTTATATCACATATAAAAATTTAAATGGATCAAGGCTCTAAATCTGACAGCTAAAAATATAAACTCTTAAAGGAAATTATAAGAGCAAAGACTTACGACCTCTGAAACATGACAATACTTTCTTAAATATGACACAAAAAGCACAGGCAACAAAAAAAGAGATAAAATGGACGTCATTAAATTAAACACTTTTGGCCGGGCATGGTGGCTCACACCTGTAATCCCAGCACTTTGGGAGGCTCAAGTGGGCAAATCACAAGGTCAGGAGTTCGAAACCAGCCTGGCCAACATGGTGAAATCCCGTCTCTACTAAAAATGCAAAAATTAGCCAGGCATGGAGCACATGCCTATAATCCCAGCTACTTGGGAGGCTGAGACAGGAGAATCGCTTGAACCCAGGAGGCAGAGGTTGCAGTGAGCTGAGACTGTACCACTGCACTCCAGCGTGGGCAACAGAGCAAGGCTCCGTCTCAATAAATAAATAAATAAATAAAAATAAAATAAAAAATAACTTCTGTGCAACGAAAGGACACCAAAGAAAGTGAAAGAGAACCCAAAGAACAGGAGAAAATAACTACAAATAAAATACCTCATAAAGATGTAATAGCCAAAACACATAAAGAACTCTTACAACTCAGTGACAAAAAGACAAGCAACCCTATTTTTAAAATGGACAAAGTACTTGAATAAACCTTTGGATAAAGGTTTATCCAAAGCAAATAAACAAATGGCCAAAAAAGTATGAAAAGATGTTCCACATCACTAATCATTAGGTAAATGCAAATAAAAACTACAATGAAATACCACTTCAACCTATTAGAATGAATGTAATAAAAAAAGAGGGAAAAAAGAATTGGCAAGGATGAGGAGAAACTGGAGCCCTCATGTATTACTACTGCAAATATCAAACAGTACAGCCACTGTGGAAAACATTTTGGCAGTTCCTCAGTCAAACACAGAATTATCATATGACCCAGCAATTCCACTCCTAGGTGTATATACTCCCCAAATAACTAAAAACAAGGACTCAAACAGATGCTTATACCCCAATGTTCACACAGCATTATTCACAAAAGCCAAAAGATGGGATATCCTAGTGTCCATCAACAGATAAATTGATAAACAAAATATGTATAATCATAATAGAATATTATTCAGTCATGATAAGAAATGAAGTCCTGATACATGCTAAACATGGATGAACTGTGAACATTATGCTGAATGAAATAAGCCAGACACAAAAGGACAAATATGGTATGACTCCACTTATTTGAAATACCTAGAATGGGCAAATTCAGAGAGACAGAAAGTAGATTAGCAGGTACCAGGGGCTGGGGCAGGGTAAAATCGTTCACCGTTTCTGTTTGGAGTGATGAAAAATTTAAGAAGTAGATAGTGGTAACTGTTATACAACTTTCTGGCTATAATTATGCCACTGAACTGTACACATACAAATAATTACAATGCCAAATTTTATGATATATATATATATATATATAAATAAAAACAATTTTTAAAAGATAAAAACAACCCACATAAATAGTCCCGAGTCCAAAAGATAGATTATTATATGTTAACAGCCTTTCAAATGAAAGTTGATAAAGCCTTAGACAGAATGCAGCCACTGTATACACCTAAAGTGACACATCCAATGTGTATTCACAGTACCAATTGGAAAGAAAACATAAAAGGCATATCTTCTCTTACCTTTAAGAACCTTATCAGTTTAAGAGGAATCATAGGTATTCAAAGTTCCCAGTTTCGAAGTTTCAATTCCCTTCACTGCAATGTTTTCAGGATCTGAATGGTGCTCGAGTATCAAAAATAAAACAAAAAAACAAACACTTGTTTGCTTGCCAAATTCCTTAATAAAATGAAGAAATACCCCTAGGAATTCCTAGGAAGAAACATTTTATGCAACAAATGGATATATATTTTCACCTTTTATACGCAAGAATTAAGCCTATGAAAAACTATACGTCAAATTTGCAACAAATCAAATATACATTCTATGAAATGACAAATTTGAAACTTTATAATTGAGAGTGCTATTAAAAAAAAAAACCCAGTAGAAATTACTAAGCAAATGATTGGCACAAACAGAAAGCAATAACACCTCTAGCACAGTGAGACTTCACTATCTTGAGAATGACCCATAAAAGGAAAGGACCCCATTTGGCACAGCCTTCATCCCCAAGAAAGAACTGCGACTCAATAAAACCACATTCTAACAACATGGAGATTTTGTTATTATAAATTTCAAAACAAAATGAAGGAATTTCCACATATTTATAACCTTCAAAGTACAATATTAATACATGTCTGTCAGTTAGAAAGAACAGCAGTTTGTTAGGCTACAAGGTTTAACATAAAACCAATTTACAAATGTGAAAAGCAGTAGTGGTCCAATATTCACCATTACACATGAATCTGTTTCTTCCAGAAAATTTTTTTAAAAATTAAAATTTCAGTATCATGAAATATTAAAATAACACCCCAAACATGCCACAATCACTATTCACAAATAAAGTTAAAATGAAATATACAAAAATCCACTTAATACTGTTAAATAACAACAATAAACTACAAGATTTCCTGAACAGAAATGGTAGGACCCCTGAATGTTTTACAGTGAATTCAGGAAAAGAAATTAAGTTATGACTATTTTCATGATATATAAGGCAAAAATTTACACGACCATTTCAAAATATACCAATTAAGATTTATAGTAAGATGCACTAAACAAATAGTCCTTAAAAGTGAACACAAATGCTTAAAATACTGTTACCAACACCAAAGTGTGTTTATGATGTTCGAAGAGATGCATAATTAAAACTAATATTTAGTATCTCTGGTAAACAGATAATACCGACAATAATTTCAAGCAATCCTGTAAGTTCTCATTTCTCTTGTTTGTAATTTATCATGGCTCATTTCAAAGACATATTACAGCTTTCAGCTGATTCCAAGTGAATGTTATTGAAACACATAGCCCCCAAATGAAAGAAACTGTTCCCCAATGAAGTATCATCCTTTCTAATAAAATAAATGTATTTAAAACAAACAAAGCAAGACTTCGTGTTTGAATGGACTTCTACAGTTAAGTTTTAACTAAATTTAAAACACAATGTAAAATAGGTAAGCATATTAGTATACGAATATCCAGTAATATGCAGTAGACATTTCTAATGTGAGGAACAGGTAAAAAATAAATAATTTTGGAGTTTTAATTTGTTGGTGTCTAATGTGAGATCCTCAAAGTGTCAGAGATTCACTTGCTTGAATCAACTTCTGCATCACATGCTTATCTAAACATAATGTGCTTGTCAATCTCTTAGCTACTCTATTTGCCAATGTTCATTAAGAAATTATATAGTATAAAATTAAAGTGTTCAAGATGGCTCACTTATTTTACTATTAAGCAAAGCTAAATTTACATTCCAGGAAACACTGCAGTTTAATTTTAAAAACAAACAAAAAATGCAGCAGTAAAACAATTCGTGAGGAGAAACAGATGCATTCACATATAATAAAGCCACTGCAACTTCTTCAGGCATTCAATTGTTGTGTTAAATAAACAGACAGTAGTTATTTAGCAGCAATGATTCCGCAATAAATAATGCACTGTGTTTCTCAGTCCTGCACAAAAATTGCAGCTACAGTTACATCAATAGCTGTAACCTACTGGCTCTAATGGCAGAGAAGACCTTAAAACCGACTGTACAAAAAATTGTCACACTGTGACAACAAATATAAAAACAATCTGTAGGTCTGAAATAAAAAGACTCCACTGTGAAGAGGACAGTGTAGACAAACGGAGATTCCAAGTCCACCAAAAGAAATAATTGCCTTCAGATCTGAGTCCTTGATTGGTAAGAAAGGCTGGGGGCTGGGCTTGAAACCATGTTATCAGACTTAAAAGAGCATGCTCTGTCTTCTGTTCTTCCCATGTCCTAAAATATAAAGTCATTTTATGAGGCAGTTCAAGGTTCAGTTTTATCCCACACACAGTTATTTGGTGACTAGGAAGCTAATGTTCCCACCAGCAAAAGCTAATATTCCATGGTAAGAGTGATCAGCACTGTCTTAAATGACCCTTCTGTTGATGGGGTCAGTCTACAGCTTCTATGCTTCGAAGTGATGAACCTGATGACTAGGGAAGCACAAGATGTGTCTTCTGCCTCAGGTACCAGGGATGGCGTGTGCAGTGATCAAGCCAGGTCACTTGTAAAAGGTCTTTGTGCCATCTGCAGCTTTCAGGATCCCTGACTTGACTGAGTCAGATTTTTCTCTGAAGATTTACTGAGCTGCCCACATCATACAGAAAAGTGAGTACGTGCAATGCTAAACATAAACAGTTGTGGAATGCACTGTACATTGGTTTTTACATCAACAATTTTACTGATCAATTTATAAACCAAAAGCTTGGTTCCACGCAAAAATTCATGATCGACACGTGAAATGGTTTATGACAAACACACCTGTCTCTGGATAAGAAGAATTTCGAAAACCCGGGTCCTTTTGCAACTGAATCTCTTTCAAACTGAATATTGATACACCTAAAATGCATAGACAAAAATTATTAGGTGAAGGTCTAACATTAAAACAAACACAACCCAACTATCAACAAATGTTTATAAAGCATATACTGATTCAATATGAAACCATTTTACAAGGTGACAGCCCTGCTGAAATTTTTCCTTTTTATCCCAATGTGCTGAAGAGAAAACTAAATGAATGAAGTAATCCACCTTTAGAACCTGTCTTCTCCCAACTCTGTGTTACAGCATGCTGTGAGCAGTGTTTCTCTGAGGAGAATATACACTGTTTGTTCCAGGACTTTCTGGGGTTGGGAGATCCAGTCAAAATATATTATTATACTAGGTGTTAATTCTCTCTGTCCTTTCTCTCTGTCTCCTTACAATGACATGAAGGTATCAGGCCTTCAAGCTATCTTCGGAATTTTAGTGAAAAACAAGGAAAAGGTTTGTGCAACCATAATTGCCTACCTCAAAGTGAAACTTAGTATTAATAATGAAATACAAATATCTTTTTCTTTTTGAGATGGAGTCTCACTCTGTCGCCTAGGCTAGAGTGCAGTGGCATGATCTCGGCTCACTGCAACCTCCGCCTCCCAGGTTCAAGCAGTTCTCTTGCCTCAGTCTCCTGAGTAGCTGGGATTACAGGCACATGCCACCAGGCCCGGCTAATTTTTGTATTTTTAGTAGAGACAGGGTTTCACCATGTTGGTCAGCCTGCTCTCGAACTCCTGACCTCATGATCTGCCCGCCTCGGCCTCCCAAAGTGCTGGGATTACAGGGATGAGCCACTGCGCCCGGTGAAATACAAATATCTTTAAAAGAACACTTGTAATTTATCTCTTTCATTTCCAATCTCTGTCAAAGAGGTATTCTTTCATTTAAATACATCCAGTAAAGTTGAAGTGAAAAGTATTAAGGATTTTTTATTCCAGTTAGCTTTGTCACTGACTGCTACACAAGCTTTGATGAATCAATATTGTCTAATAAACGAGAATGGGAAATTAACGAAAGCTTTTGGCAGCTTAGTTCCGTAACATTCTTCCAATTCTCCACTCACCTTACTCTATTTTAAAGTAAAATACTGTGGTAATCTAAAAATAGAATGTTACGAGTAAAATCAACGTTACTCAGGCACGGGAAATCTGCTATTTCAGTGACTCTGACAATACGCTCACCGCCGTCACGCGGATAGTAAAATCAGAGTGACCACAATAAAGGAAAATCATTTTTGTATCTCAAGAAAAACTGTATTTTCACAAGAAAACAATTAATGTTTCGGTTATGCTTCATTAGTTTTTGTTTGAAATTCACTTTTAACAACTCTAAATTGAAGCTAGATTGGGCCTAGGGACAATGCCTGTCATCAGATGACATGTTCCAACTAAAGTCCAATAAGATTAATGATCTTTAGGCCGGGCGCCTCAAGCCTGTAATCCCAGCACTTTGGGAGGCCGAGACGGGCGGATCACGAGGTCAGGAGATCGAGACCATCCTAGCTAACCCGGTGAAACCCCGTCTCTACTAAAAACTACAAAAAACTAGCCGGGCGAGGTGGCGGGCGCCTGTAGTCCCAGCTACTCGGGAGGCTGAGGCAGGAGAATGGCGTGAACCCGGGAGGCGGAGCTTGCAGTGAGCTGAGATCCGGCCACTGCACTCTAGCCTGGGGGACAGAGCGAGACTCCGTCAAAAAAAAAAAAAAAAAAAAAAAGATTAATGATCTTTGCCTAAGTACTTTTGGTTTCCTACATTGGTTTCCTGACAATGTGCTCAATGTTACAAGTAATAACTAAATCATAGGGAAATAAGACACATACCTCCCTTCAAGAAATTCTAATCTAACTACAGAAAATACTAAAATCTTAGGCTTAAAAATCAATAGCCATCTCCCCAATCACCCCAGTCCCTAACCCCGGACAAATAAAAATAAAGCGGGGAAAACACTTTAGGATTTCTCTTACTTTCTGGTAAAGCATGTATTCTTGGTCCCAGACTTCGAAAGTACACATGTTTCATGGCTTCTTCTGCTGAAACCCTTTTCTTAGATTCATACTGTGAAAAAGCAAAGAACTGCTTCATTAGCTTTTTCTCTAATTACTATAAAAAGTAGGAGATGGGCAAATTAGCATTTAGAGCTATTTTTAAAAATTTTGATTATTTAATATGATGACTATTTTTCAATCAACAATTTGGAATACTCCAGTTATACTCTAATTTGAGTCACCGCTGAGATTGCATAATATCATCTCAGTTCCACATTTCTAACATAAGGCTGGATCTTAAATAAGAATTTACATTCCTTGTACTTTCTGAAGCAAAGAAAAATAAAAATATTTGACCTGTGTAGTTACTTCTCTTCATGAATACCAAAGGACTGGTGGACACATACCTAGTATTTTTATGGCATCCATTCTTAATTACCTATCCAATACTCATTTCCCTTTTTTCTTTGATGATACAACCTAGGTTTCTTCAAGGTGTCCATCAGCTCTGATAGATGAATCATGAATCATAACTCTTCTAAATTTAGGCTAGTTATGACAATCCTGCTCCCCAATTCCCAGTCTTTCCTACAATTAATGTTCTGGCCAATGAGACTTGGAAGGAAACCTTGTAGGGGTTTCTGTAAAGCTTTTGCTTCCAAGTTCCAAGAGGACTAATGTGGCTGGTAATAAAGGGACTTATCGTCCCCTCTTATTCTTGCTTTGGAGGGAAATATGAATGGTATTTGGAGGCAGAGCATCCTACAAAGGCTGTAGGTATAAGGAAAAGAGAACATAAGAGAGCATCAATTGCAGAGAATGTGGCCTTGACACGGCTGATCAATGCCAATAACCAACTACCTCAGACTGTTGTAAGTGACAAGAGACCCAGGCACATTAGGAGAAACCATATTATTTTTATTTTTTACTTAAAAATGTGCCTTAAGCATAGATAATTTTGTCATTAACAATACTGAGGAAGTACTACTGATCCCATTCCACAGATGAGGAAGCTGAGGCTTAACTACCTATTTAACAATTACTGTAAGATCTGACTTACCTGAAGAAATTTTGTTATCAACTCAATTCCTTCAGAGTCTAACCTAGAAACAACAAAGAACAAGTAAAAATTTATTCTCTCTTAGCTGATAAAACTTTTCAGATAAAACTATTTTCTAAGTATTTTAATCTGCTAAATTTAAATGCCCTAAAATAGTCACTCTTGTTGCCTTCAAATAGGCTCAAATCTGTTTTAGTCTTAAAAGACTGGCCTTGCTATTTGTTTAAGGATAAGTCATAAATAACTTGGCTTCAATTTGAATTTTCAATATCCAAGAACAAATTAAAGAATTTTAAAAATCACCATGCTGTCTCAAAACAATGTAACTTATAGTATTAAGAAAGCTTAAATACTGTATCACTTTTCACAGTCTTTCACTAAAGGCAAGTATATAAGAGCATCACTTTCCTATTACATAGGTGAAAACGCAGAGACAAGTGACCTTAAAATGTATCACTGTTGTTCAAGACAAACACAGAAATGAGCTATTCAGGAACAAATTTTTAGAGTTGTCTGCTTAGCATGAGGTACTAGAAGTTATTGAGTTCAATTTAAATATGCTACAATAACTTCATAAACCTTCATCAGTAAGGGATATAAACCTAATGACATAATAAAGATGAAATTAGTATAACTAGGGGTAGTAGGGTTAAAGGATTATCTTTTTTTTTTTTTTGAGATGGAGTTTCGCTCTTGTTGCCTAGGCTGGAATGCAAAGGTGCAATCTTGGCTCACTGCAACCTCTGCCTCCTGGGTTCAAGCGATTCTCCTGCCTCAGCCTCCCGAGTAGCTGGGATTACAGGCATGCACCACCACACCGGGCTAATTTTTTGTATTTTTAGTAGAGACAGGGTTCCTCCATGTTGGTCAGGCTGGTCTCAAACTCCCAACCTCAGGTGATCAGCCTGCCTCAGCCCTCCTCAAAGTGCTAGGATTACAGGTGTGAGCCACTGAGCCCGGCCTGGGATTATCTTGATCAGAAATAACAGGTTCTATCTTACACTGCCTTTCACTGGTAAAAGTACAATAATGAGTAAAGAAACATTTTCTTCCAAGTGCTCTCAAGTGGGTCCTGTGGATGCTGCAGTCTACACATTCTACGTAGTTTGCCATTCTAGCACATATCCAGAGTTCCCTGGGCACAGACAAACTAGGTACTACAGTTATGGAGACTCTGCTTGAAAGAAAAGCTTCAACCTTCTACATGGAACATTACCAAAAGCAAGCAATAATTAAAGGACAAAAATAGAATTTGTGCTACTTGGGAGAGACGTGCAAAAAAAAGCCCAGCACATATTATTCTTCTTCCTAAGAAAATCCAGTTAGAATGGTATTAGTTGCTATAGTAACAATAAGAGTACCAACTCACATAAATACTTTAAAAATATTTTTGGTGTCATAACCATTTTGCTCTTCCTTCCCTAGCTTGAAAATAAAAGGAAGCAAAACAAGTATGTTATGTTGTGAGCAATGTGAATGGCTTTGGGTTAAAACAAATGATGTCCTTATTTGGTATCTTGGTGACTTTCAAATTTTGGGGGGGTTGGGGGGCTGGGGAGATGGAAAATGCAGTCAAAGGGGTTATTCTATGTTATCTCCTAAAAATGTAATACATTCTACAAGTAAAAATGTTCTGACTCAAATTTTATTGGGAGCCTTGGATTGATCTTGGGGTAGGTCTAAGAAGAAACTTAAATGAATGGCTGACATTTAGATGTTACATTTTGCTAAGGAATCGGACAGAGTTTATATTCTTCAAATATGAATTACATCATTAACACTCGTCAAAATACTGATAGGTTACCTTGTGTTATAGAGTCAAGATTTCACTTACATAACCTTTCTTAGGTTTTTGTTAAGTAAATACAGAATAATTCTGTAGAAAGCAAAACAGGAATTTCATCATAATCTTTGTGGTACAGAGTAAGGCATTAATCAATATCTTCTTTCTGGGAAAAGGAACTATCTACATAAACTCTAGAATTCTAATACATATACAGTTCCAAATTAAATAAGATCCTAAAATATGTAAGGATTATGTGTATTATGTATTTTTTCCTGAATCCTTACTGTGGCTAATCCTTCAAAAGATTGAAAAGAATCATGTGAGTTTCCCCTTTCACATAAGAAAAAAAAAATACCTGGGTGCATGGTTAATTAGAGGCTGTGGTTTATATTTTGGAAAGTTGTAGTTCTTGAACTCCTCATTTGAAGAAATACCTGGCCAAGTTTCCTGAGATGGAGTTCCTGAATTAAAAAAAAAAAATTAAATATATTTATAAATATATATAAAATTTATATATAAAAACTATATATGCGCATATATAACAAAGTGTCTTAGAGAACAATTTACATTTACCAGATGACTTAACTACTTCAGCTGCAATTGATATAACAGAAATAAATGTACATGGACTTGTTTGGACTTCGCAATGATACTGTAAAACAGATGCCAGGCCCTTTTTCTATTCAGTTGATACCACCAAAGTTAGCAATATTCCTTAATAATATGCCGATATCCAATTTTCCATACTAATTATATTCTGTTTTTCCACTGAATCTTTATTGCAAAGATAAAACTTAGCAGATGAAGTTACCTAGAAGGATCTATCTTTATAGCATTCATTCTAATTCTTCTAAGTAACAGCTATTTATGTTAGTCTCAGTATCAAATTTTAAAATATGTATTTTAGAGATAGTCTTATCAAGCTAGTCAATTGTGGGTGCAAAATCACTGGGAAAAGATTTCTTCTGTTACCTAGCAGTCGGAAAATTAAGTGTAGTTCATCTTCCACAGTTGATCCTGGAAATAAAGGTCTTCCAGAAGCCATTTCAAAGAAAATGCAACCAACACCCCTTTAAAATAGATCATGAAAATAATTTAGCAATTCATTTACATATTATGAAGCACAAGAATCTTTTCCTTAAGATTGCCTCTCTGCAGAATTCTGCACTAGCCTGTTGGAAAACCTCCTGAAGAGATATTTTAGATCTAACTAATTTGTTCACATTTACCCTATTTGTCTCAATTTCTATATTGCTATATCTATTTTTCCCATTTAAAATGTCCAACTCTCCTTTGCACAATCCTTGAAGAATAATACTAACAACAGTGACTGAAGATTTACTATGCGTTAGAAATGTTTTTTAAGTGCATCAGTTATCTCACTGAATCCTTGTATTAGCAATAGTGTAGACCATGGATTGAACAACGAAGACAGGCGGGGGGAAAAACAACTGAAGAGATATTATGGTAACCTAGGAGATGACAGTGACCTAAGCTAGGCAGGAGAAATGGAGAGAAACAAATGATTCAAGACATTTTGATGCAGGAAGCAGAGGTAGAACATGTTGGTACAAGGTGGTGTGTGTAAGAGAAGGAAAAGAAATGGATGGTGGTTCAGAGAATAGAATGGTGGTTCCTAGAATAGTCATCTAGGAACTGTATGTACATACATAGTTTAAGACATAATCCTTCCATTAAAGGGCTTGTAATCTAGCAGCTATATATAAAAGTTAATTTTACATATTGTAAGAAAGTAAAATGATATAGTTGCTATGGAAAATAATATGGTGGTTCATCAAAAAATTAAAAACAGAATTACTATATGATCCAGCAATTCTACTTCTAGATATATATCTAAAAGAACGGAAATCCGGCCAATACAGGAGGACTGCTTGAGCCCAGGAGTCTAAGACCAGCCTGGACAACATGGTGAGACAACGTCTCTTAAAAAGAAAAAGAGAGAGAGAGAGAATTGAAAGCAAGGTCTTGAAAAGGTATTTGTATACCCACGTACACAACAGCATTATTTACAATAGTCAAAAGGTGGAAGCAACCCAAATGTCCATCAATGGATAAATGGGCAACGGAATGTGGAATATATATTTAATGGAGTATTTTTAGCCTTAAAAGGGAAGGAAATTCTAGCATACGGTACCATGTGAATGAACCTTAAAGACATTATGCCAGATGAAATAAGCCAGTCACAAAAGGACACATACTGCATGATTCTACTCGTAAGTGGTACTCAGAACAGTCAAATTCATGGAGACAGAAAGTATTATAGAACAGTGGTTACCAGAAACCGGAGGTGGGGGAGGAGGATAGGAAGAAATTGTTAAATGGGTACAGAGTTTTGGTTTTGCAAGATGGAAGGATTCTGGAGGTAGAGAAATAGTGGTGATAGTTGCACAACAATATAAATGTACTTAATGTCTCAACTATACACTTAAATTGGTTAAAATGATAAATTTTATAACTATTTTACAATATTAAAAATTAATTTTAAAAAGTTATATGAGACATTTTATATAATTGTTCAAGATAGCAACAGAAATAGGTATATGACTTATTACCACACGAAGAACAGAAAATAAATGCAACCACAGTTCAGAGGAAGGAACTGCCACCAGAGGCTAGAGTATATTCAGAAAAGGATTTACGAAAAGCTGTGTTCTGAACGTTACTAGGAATGAGCCCAAGTTAGGGCACCAGAGTGGGCATTCCAGATGGGTGGACTGGTATGAACACCAAGAGCAAAGGTAGGAAAGTCCACGTTATTCCTGAGATGTAGTCAGTGTGCCATGTTGCTAAAAGGGAACACTTCTGTTGAGAAATAGTCTGAAATAAGTTGGAAAAGGTAGTTTAGAGACATCTTATGGAAATCCTTAAGTATCAGATTGAGGAATTAATTGTACCTTATTCTATAGGTAATGAAGGAGGTGGCAATAATGGTGTTTGAGTAGAAGAGTGTCAGGATTGAAGTGGTGTGTGAAAAAGATAACTACAATATTTTAATTTTTACCTTTAGTTCAAGTTAAAGCAGAAAGATTTTGGTGAATATTAAATGATGATAAAATGATAATTTTGTTTTAAATTACTATGTATCAGATACTCGAGTGTCTCATAAAGCACTCCTCTGAGTGTTCATTTAATCTTAATATCTCCTACAACACTTCAAAGTAGTTGTTACTATTCCCATTTCCTTAAATGAGGAAACTGAGGCAAAGGCCAGTAATTTGAATAAAGTTATTACATAGTTCTAAATGGCAGAACTGGTATTTAAACCTAGGTAATCTAATTCCCATGCCAGAACTCATTAATCACTGTTTATATTATGGCTCTTTAAAATCATACCTCCTTAAAAGTCAAATACTTATCAATACACCCTGCATTAACAGTTACATTCTTTCAAAATTATAAATGTCAGTGACATCTGTATATATTTACCACATGTCAATCTGTGTTGAGTACTCCGAGGAACCAAGAAGCACATCAGGTGGCCGGTACCATAGTGTGACAACTTCATTTGAGTAGGTCTTTGTGGGAACTGACTTGGCTCGGGCTAGTCCTTCATAGGGAAAATAAAACAAAGGGTTAAAGCAAAAGCTATAATGGATCTCTCAGACCCTATTCTCACCATGACTCCATTCAAAGGGATGCCTGAGATGGTTAATTCGTAGCTTCTTGAGGCTTCAACACAATTAGCTTTAGGAATTTGTTGAGTGCAAGTGGCCCTGAGTCAGCAAATCCTTATGTAGTGAACTAAACAAGAATTCCACAACCAGAGACTATGCTTGCTTTTATGTTTGAATACACCTGGTGAAGTGTTCTGGGTGAATCTAAACTTAAGATGTTTTCCTTCTGTCCATGAATCATGATGCCAAAATCATTTCTCAACTGCAATTAAATTAATCAAAAATAAGCCAATGACATTGAGACACACAATTTTACTTCTAACAGCTATGAGCTTTTGTCACCTTTTAACCTGATTCCAACTTTCATTTGCTATACCATTTTTTTATCAAAAACTGTGAAGTTACTGATTCATAATCTCACTGAGATTTACTGACAATTTCTTTGCAGAACTCGACTTAGAGACAATTTCCTCGGAATAAAATTACAATGCTGTTCTGTACTCCCTTTTTAGGTTTTAAGTTACATGGATGATTTTGGAGTAAGACAGACTTCATTGTCCTTGGATATTATTAATTGCTGTTTAAGTCAGGGGTGTCCAATGTTTTAGCTTCCCTGGGCTACAATGGAAGAAGAACTGTCTTAAGCCACACATAAAATACACTAACAACAGCTGTGACCTTAAAAAAAAAAAAAAAAAGTAAAAAAATCTCATGTTTTAAGAAAGTTTACGAATTTGTGTTGGGCTGCATTCAAAGCCATCCTGGGCCACATGCAGCCTATGGGCTATGGGTCAGACAAGTCTGCTGTAAGTGATATAAAACATTTGCCATTCCTTTGCTAATTTAATATGGAATCCATTGATAATCCAGAAATAAAGGCTAGAGTTTACAACTTTATCTCGAGTTACTAGTGTGAGAGAGTTGTTACTATCTCTAAGCCTCTAAATTACGATCTGAAGAAGCAACTTTGAAAAATATCTGGAAAATTATTAATTTATTTGGCCAAAACAAGGAAGAATTTTTTAGGCTGAGATTGCTGTTATATATAACTTTGTATATCTGATTAAAATATTAAATAAAAAGTCACAAAATAACTCAATATTTTATTTTACTGAATAAGGTCACATAAACAATGTCAGAAATTTAATGAGGCAGGACTCATATAGTATTTTAGTTCAGTATAATGGGGAAAGGGTATAACTGGAACAATGTTGACATTATTTCATTTAATTACAAGTTTTACTCTAGCATCTCAACTTGGTGAAGTAAGTCCAACTGACAAATTATTTTCATACTGATTTTGGTAATTAATTAACAAGATGGAGGTAGGTTTCTGATCTCTCTTCTTGATATTAAAAGTGGGTTATAGGAAGGCAAAGGACAGGGTTGCTAATGTGCTTATCCCGCAACAAACCATATCAAGGCAAATTACCAGTTATAGTTTCCTCTGTATCCTACTCTCCCACTCCTGAGAGGATTCTGAACTACAGTGTTTGTCTACATGGGCTTCTAGTTCACAATTAGAATTTCAATATTGGTTGGAATGAAATGAAACAATCTCTCCTAAACCAAAATAATTAAATGTGATATGGTATTATTATATAAGCCATTTTCTATCATTAGTGAAAATATCTATATCACTAGTTCCAAGACTTCTGATTTTCACTGATCATGGGAAAAGGGTAGAATTTTCAGAGGGACAGAGAACACCTTATAGGATAAATACTCAAAGTTATGTGACCCTCCTTCACATGAAGTCATATTTACTATGCAACCAAAAAAAGGAAGAAATAGAGACAGAGTTGAATATACTATCTCATGGAATAATCAGAATTTCTTGTTGCCCTGTAGGTAAAATTTGCCTAGCTTGCTTTGTAGAGGTTAGAAGCAAAATTTAAAGCACTCAAGAGTATTCCCTGAAAAAAGTAGTTTTTTTTCTTCTTCTTCTTCTTGGAGACACGGTCTTGCTCTATCACCCAGGCTAGAATGAAGTGGCTTGATCATGACTCACTGAAGCCTCAACCTCCCAGACACAACTGATCCTACTATCTCAGCCTCCCGAGTGGCTGCGACTAGAGGTGCACACAACCACACCTGGCTAATTTTTAAATTTTTTGTAGAGGCAGGTATTTGCTATATTGCCCAGACTGGTTTTGAACTCCTGAGCTCAAGCAATCTGCCTGCTGGGCCTTCCAAAGTGCTGGGATTACCGGTGTCAGCAACTGGACCCAGACAAAGGTAGATTTGTTTATAGTCCTTGACATTCCTTTTGCATTTTTTTTTCTTTTTGGAGATGAGTCTCGCTCTGTCATGCAGTGGCATGATCTTGGTTCACTGCAACCTCTGCCTCCCGGGTTCAAGCAATTCTCCTGCCTCAGCCTCCCAAAGAGCTGGGATTACAGGTGCCCACCACAATGCCCAGCTAATTTTTCTATTTTGAGTAGAGACAGCGTTTTACCATGCTGGTCAGGCTGGTATTGAACTCCTGACCTCATGTGATCCACCTGCCTTGGCCTCGCGAAAGTATTTCTCTTCACTGACATTCATTTTGGGATTGGGACTAAAGAGCATTAAATGCAGAGTAGCTAAGACAGAGAAGAAGGAAAAAGGGTGAAAAGGAAATGGTGGCTGAGGGAAGGAGAAAGAAAAAAGAGAGACAGAGTAACAATTATTATAAGGGAAATAACAACATAAACTATGCCCAAGAAGAGACTTTATAATCTATGAAAGCATATGTAAATAGCTTATAATTGTTATTCAAACACAGGTGACCCACACATTTCCTTTTTTAAAGAAGGAAATGCAAAAAGTAATTTACCCTTCAAATGGCAAAGTATTAAATGAGCAAAAGTATAGGCATTTCCAGAACAAATTCACCATTTAATAACAGTGAAGAGTAATACTTGAAACACTTGTATTTATCAAATTTAACGAAATACTCCAAACATAAAACTAGCATAATCAAAGCCAGGTGTGGTGGCTCACACCTGTAATCCCAGCATTTTGGGAGGCCAAGGCAGGCAGATTACTTGAGGCCAGGAGTTTGAGACCAGCCTGAACAACACGGTGAAACTCCATCTCTACTAAAAATACAAAATTTATCTGGGTGTGGTGGCACCCCTGTAATCCCAGCTATTTGGGGGCTGAGGCACCAGAATCACTTGAACCCAGAAGGGGGAGGTTGTAGTGAGCTGAGATTGCACCACTACACTCCAGCCAGGGTGACAGAGCAAGACCCTGTCTTAAAACAAACAAACAAAAAACTACCATAATCATTTATGAAAAAGAACTATAAATTCTAGTTATGGAAAACTGCATGGGTTTTTAAAAAGTAAGTTCTCTAAGAGTATTCAAACTCTCAGAATGTGGAATACAAAAAATTCAAAGCTACTCTACAGAGTTCCTTCGATACGAAAAAGTTTACTTTCTAGAAGCAAAAAGAGCATTTAATTTTACTTTCAATTCCCTTAAAACCAGGTTAGCTAAAAAGATATAGATAAATAGCTGCAATTAAATTATTGAGCATATAATACAGAGTAATGGTGGCAGGTATATTAAGGGAACTCCTTTCAGTAGTTGCTTCTAAACTCATTGCTCTCAAGACCCATTTTCTACTCTTGAAAATTATCAAAGACCTAAAGAGCTTTTATTTTTGTGGATATATTTACTGATATTTGCCACATTAGAAATTAAAACAGCAAATTTTAAAATATTTTCTCTTTAAAAACACCACCCATTATATATAGCATGAATGACATTTTTATGGAAAACTTTTTTTATATAAAAACAAAACTTAGTAAGAAGAATGGCCTTCTTGTAAATCTCTTTGAAATCTTGTTTTTGGTGTAGAGATGGGGTCCTGCTATGTTGCCCAAGCTGGTCTTAAACTCCTGGCTTCAAGTGATCCTCCCACCTCAGCCTCTTAAGTGCTGGGATTACACCCCTAAGCCACTATGTCTGGCCTAAAGTTGATTTTAATAGAAGACAACTGGATTCCACATCTGTTTTTGCATTCAATGTGTTGTGATATGTTACTTTGATACATATCACAACATGTATCACAGTAGATGAAATATACATATCACAACATACATACATATAGGAAGGAAATCAGATCTCACACAGATATGAGGCTGGAAAGAGGAGGGGCATTTTAATAGCCTTTTCTGATAAACATGAATAGTTTTCTTTGACATTACATCAGAACTACAAAGTAAGTGGTCTCTTTAAAGCTTTGTGGCAACAGAAATTATAACGATGAACCTCTCATACTTTTGTTGCACTAAAATTCATTCATCTATCTTGTACTTTAAATGGGTCTTTTATCCATGCATGATTCTGTAATGTCATGCATTGGCCATTTGGAAAACACTGGTTCCCTGAGTTATACATTCCAAATGTTTATACACTTTTTCAGCATATCGAAAAATCGTGTTAACATCAACATCGATCTCATCAGAAAAGTCTCTGAGTACTAAAAAGCCATCAAACTCAAAGCAGATCCCAATTTCCAAACTCTAATTCTTGCTTGAAAACTTGAATTTTATTATTGGCAAGAAATATTGTGAGTTCTTGTCCTTGAAATGATAGGCTTCCTTCATTCATTTTCAGGAAAATGTCTGCCAAATACCTAAGTCTGAATAACCATAGTTTGTCTGTCAGTCATTAAGTAAAAATGGTGTCCCTTCAAATAACGGGGCTAGTTCAATTTGCACTCAAATAATCACGAGTACTCTTCCTTGAGAGGCAACCACATTATTTCTGTGTGCAGCAAATGTGTTTTATGTACACTTCCCATTTTATCACATAAAATATTAAAAAGAAATGTCAAGGATGGAAATTAAATACAATTAATAAATTTTATTGCTTCATCATGTACCTTTTTAAGTGTAACTGACAGTTTTCCCTTTACGTAAATGTAATGGTAAAGAATACAATGATGGCCTGGGCCCGGTGGCTCACGCCTGTAATCCCAGCACTCTGGGAGGCCAAGGTGGGTGGACCACCCGAGGTCTGGAGTTTGAGACCAGCCTGACCAACATGGTGGTCACACTAAATATACAAAATTAGCAAGGCATGGTGGCACATGCCTGTAATCCCAGCTACCTGGGAGGCTGAGGCAGGAGAGTCACTTGAACCCAGGAGGCGGAGGTTGCAGTGAGCCAAGATCACACCATTGTACTCCAGCCTGGGCTTCAAGAGCAAAACTCCATCTCTCAAACAAACAAACAAACAAAAAGAATACAATGATTTATTTTGGTGCCACTACTTTGATATATAGTTTTATGCGTTATTACTTTGGGATCATCATTGCAAGTATTAACACAGTGAAAAAGGCAAATAACAGATGGTACAATTTTGGTAATATATTTACATTTAGAGGCCTCCTACAAGGGTCTCAGGAGCCCTAGGGGTCTATGTCCACACCTGAGAACAGCCTGTGCCTTTTACAATTTGCTGCTAATAACCAACATAAATCACCCACCAAAGTTCTGTCAAATATCTTATTCTGTGGGCTACCAAGACAATTTCCAAACCCACATAAAAGCAATGGCATATTATGACAGTGGTTGATCTTTTAAATTTAAGAACCTGGAAGTACTAATAGATATCTCATACATTCCATACCAAAATCTGCTAGCTTTAATTCTCCTTTTTCATTAATGAGGAGGTTCTGTGGTTTCAAGTCTCGATGCAATACCTTTCTTCTATGGCAATATGCCAAACCACGTAGAATTTGGTACAGAAACAGCTATAGAAACAAATAAATAAAAATTAGTCTTACAGATGAGACATGCTTTAGTATAAGCATAAATGATAGCAAGCAGAAAAGCAATTGGCCTAGAACATTGTAACAGGAAAAAGAAAGTAATTGCATCCGTAAGTACAATGTCTATTTCCTTTTATAGTGGCTTTCTGAATTTAATAGTTTATTATTCTATTTGAAGCACCCACTTCTTTTAGTCTAACAGTATCTATGGAAATATTTTTTAAAATGAAACTTCCTCCTAGCAGTAACAGTTGATTTACTGTGAAAAATGACTTAAAAAACATATCCTCATAAACTTACAGGCCTACTAAGGTTTACATAGTTTAATTATAAAATTCTGGCAAAACAACCAACCAATCCCCCTCCCACTCAACGCTCCTTAAAAAAACAAAAAGAAAAACTCTGATCTGGGGCAGTGTCTTTAAAATAAGGCACTGGAGTTGGTGATTTTATGAAAAGTCTGAGGTATCAAAGATAATGCTGCTGCACAGCTCTGGCAAATTACTTACTATAAAAATAACCTAAACCAGCTTCTATCACCCACCTCTTGGGTACTTTACTTTCAGCACGTCCTACTCAGCCTTCAAAATCTACTGTGATTCACAAAGGGGCATTAGCCCTATAGTGTTCTGAACGACTCTGAAAAAAGCAATTCCTATAAGGCTAATGGTAGGGTTTTAGTTGTAGATTTTGGTAGAAAGAGGCTTCTGGAACACATAAGACCTTTGATTCTCTGGGGTTAACAAAAAGAACCTCAAGTACAGAGGATTCAAGAGTTTCTCCTCAGTTCATTTGTAGGTGAAAAATAGAGCATCAGAATACTGAGGCAGCCAAGGCAGCAGGTCAATGGTACGCCTGAATGAATTCTCTGTGCCAAAGTCTCTGCAGTCTACATAATTATGTTTTTAAAACTCTAAAATTACTATAAATGAATTCCTGTTACACTTTGTATTTTGCAAGTATAAAGGCCATTTAAACAAATAAATAATAAATGCTTTCCAACTTAAGCTAATCATGTAAACCTGGCATTAAAGAAATAAACGTCTCAACATTTGTGAAATTAACATCATGAAGGACCTTGTTTTATTTTCAAATTATTGCTAATAAAAAGCAGGAAAAACAAAATTAAAACCAAAAAAAGATACAAAATGACAGTTATAACACTTTGCAAACAAAAAATGTAAAATATGATGAAAACAACCCTGACAGAATATATATGGAAGTACATTTAAAGCCCTTTTAAAAAATCCTTAGCAATGTGTTATCCATATGTTCTGAGCTGTCTTTTAGTAACAGAAACTGGCTCTCTCTTATAACCACCAAACTTAATATTTTTTTAAATGTAAGTTTAAAATTACTACCTACAGAATTAGAAATGTCTGAAGTGCACAGCTGTGACAGCCTATTTTCAGAATAGGTTCTTACATATTGTTGACTAAGTTTGGATAAATAAATCTTTGCTAAATTTGGATACACCACTCAGGTCAAAGAAACCTACTATAAGAATACAAACTATGCCTGATGCTGTTACTCAGTTGATAACTTTTGGGTGTCATCTGGCACTGATTTTATGGCAAACTTTTTTAGCATTAAATTTTTAAATATGTTGTAGTAAGAAAACATACCAATTATCTTACTCTGCTTCCTAACAGTACAGATTGGTATTTCCAGCATAGGGTCCACAAAACCTGCATGTTCTGGCCTTATTCATTAGTCCTGAAAAGTTGCTGTTTTATAATTAAATACCATTTATTTGGGGAGTTCACTATTTAAAGAAGGCCTTTCACAGAATGCACCCATCATTTGTATTTATTTTGAATTTTTTTTTAAAGCAGAATATACCTGTACATATATTCTATATTAGGACAATCAGTTATAATGTGAAATGTCAAAAGAATAAAGTGGTTCTACAAAAAGGTCTGATCCTAAGAAAGCTATAGTATAGTCAACAGAAGTTCTGGGTAAATATTGCATGTTCAGAGGACAATAACCTATAAAGGCCAAACAGAAAACCCTGAAAAAGAGTTATGAGGCTGGTACATTTCATTATATAATGGTTCACCTATGCTTTAAACAAAATTTTAAAATTACATACGAAAACATACCTTTACGTTGTGCATACTCATGATGTTTCCACAGTCATCCATGTACTGTTTCAGGTCTTTATCCTGGAAAAACACAGTACTCTGCTATGTGATACACAGTTTTCAGAATGTTGTGACTGGTTCACTTAATAGTGTTTTTCAAAATATGTCGTTTTTCAAGAAAAGATATTGGATGCACCATACACATAATTTAATTTAATTAAAAACTGATAACTAAACAATAAAGTTCCTTGGGCTGTTAAAAAGTCCAATTTATCTAAGCACAGTTGCAGTTTAAAGAAAAATAAAAAACAAACTAAAAGTCCAGTTTACTATATTTTTTCTAAAGCAAAGTTAAATACTGAATTTTTGTGAGATGCTTACCAGATACTCAAACACCAAAGTCAAAGATTTATCTGTGTGAACAATGTCATGTAAGGTTACTATATTTGCATGTTTTAAATCCTTTAATAGTGAAACTGCAAAACAGAAAAAGAAAGACAATTGTTTAGTCTGTGGTAGTCTTTATAAAAACCTGAAGTAAGTTGAACATATGAACTGATTAAAAGATTCTCTTAAGTTCAGGTCTTGGGCGGTGGCTCACACCTATAATCCCAGCACTTTTGAGAGGCTGAGGCAGGCGGATCACTTGAGCCCAGGAGTTCAAGACCAGCCTGGAAAACAGTGCTATTTAAAAAAAAAAAAAAAAAGATTCTCTTAAGTTTAAAACAATAATTTACCAAGGGGATTGGTTGTAAAAATTTTCATGGAAATCAGTTTTTTCTTTTCTTTTATACTACCGGGTTTGATATTATAATACTTAAAATTGTTCCCAATATTATAATATTCTCATATCACCTTCTGTATTTTTCTTAAATGTTAACTTTTGAAACTTCTGGGATTAATTTAGATATAAAGTACATGGAACCATTTTTCCCCTCCACATTACTAATCGGTTGCCTCAAGCCATTTTCTGAATAATATTTTCTTTATAAAATGGTACTATGATATAAATATGTTTACATACTGTTTTTTAATTTATTTAGTTTATCTGGCTAATTTATAGTTACCATGTTCCCCATGTACCAATGTATAACATTTCCCTGTGACACATAGTTGTCTATGATAGTGATTTTTAATGAATTCAGATTTCATTATAAGTTATACACTAATATAATTCCTTTCTTGTGAATATCTGCTTTAGAAATTAGCTTTTTAAAGGTTTAATTATATCTTCCAGTCATTTATTACTTGTATATCTGAGCTCTTTTTACTTATAAAAAATAAACTCTTATTCCACCACTCTGATTTTAAAATGTTCTGTATAATTATTATACCTTCTCTTATAGCTGTGCAGGGTGCACCTTCTTCATGTTCCAATCGGATCTCTTTTAATGCCACCAAATTCTCTGTCAATTTACTTCTTCCTTTATACACTGTTGCATATGTACCCTATAAAATATATTTTTAAAGGACACATCAAAAGTATCATAAGAGTCTATTTAATACCATCTTATAATAAAGAGCTCTACCTGAATTTCTAATTTCTAAGCATTGTTAAATTCCATCTTGCAAAGAAAAACACACAATGATCAGCCTTGGCTTTTCTTACTGCAAACAGGACTTTCAGTTCATATGCACAGCTTCCATACTTCTGTGAACACTACAGAGTGCCTCAAGAGTATAAAAACATAGGCAGAATATTTACTTTTTGTACTTTATTTCAGATTAACAATTAGATCAACAGCTTTAAAATCAAAGGTGCTTTACCTGCAATGGTATATGGAGACTGATGGACACTAATTGAACATATTAATTGAAAAATGAAAACGTAATATACATATTGTTAAATCACGATTTTTTTTTTTTTGAGATGGAGTTTCATTCTTTCGCCCAGGCTACAGTGCAAGTGGCACGATCTCAGCTTGCTTCAACCTCCATCTTCCGGTTTCAAGCGATTCTCCTGACTCAGCCTCCCGAGTAGCTGGGATTACAGGCGCCCGCCACCACGCCCGGCTAATTTTTGTATTTTCAGTACAGACGGGCTTTTCACAATGTTGGCTAGGCTGGTCTCAAACTCCTGACCTCGTGATCCACCTGCCTTGGCCTCCCAAAATGCTGGGATTACAGGCGTGAGCCACCGCGCCCGGCAATCATAAAAATTCTACCCATGTTTCTAGACTTTTCAGAATCTTCGTACATTAACTCTCCTTTAAAAAACAAGAATCTCTTCTATCATTGCCAGGACAGCCCTCAAGCTCCTTTAAGGCTTCCCTATTATTTTCTTTGCCCTTTCTTACTATAGGAGGTAGGCCACTTCTAAATCAGTAGTACCAGTAGCAAGTCCAAGAAAACCAAGATCTTAAGAATTTCCTTAACTTTCAAAAAATGTGTTTTTATCTTTATTCTGATTTTTCACAGGTCTGAACTCACGCAATTTCCCATAATGGCACAGACAGTAGAATGCCAGTGGACTAAGTGACAAATGCCTACTTTGTTATCAAGAAAACATAATACTTCTACTGCAATAAAAATTTCAAAGCTATAAAAAAAATCCATTTCCTCTCAAACTGATGGGATAATTTCAAGAACTGAAGACTCTTAACTCCTAGAAACTCTGTTACCTTTCCAGAACAAGTACATAATCTTGTAGACATCAGTATTTATATTTTTTCCAGGTTAACAAAAACTGTGGAGTAACAGAGAATGAAGAATAAGAAAAAAATGTGTCTTACATTTTTGAAATAAATATTTACTTACCTCTCCAAGCTTTTCCAATTTGATGTAGGTTTCCATTTTTCCAAAGCCGATTTCTGACTGAAAAGTAAACAATGATAAATTTTGTATTTATTGTTTTTTTTTTTTTTTTTGAGACAGCGTCGTCTCACTCTGTCACCCAGGCTGGAGTGCGGTGGCACAATCTTGGCTCATTGCAACCTCCACCTCCTGGGTTTGACTGATTCTCCTGCCTCAGCCTCCGGAGCAGCTGGGATTACAGACGCGCACCACCTCGCCCAGCTAATTTTTGTATTTTTAGCAGAGACAGGGTTTCAAAACGTTGGCCAGGCTGTTCTCGAACTCCTGACCTCAAGTGATCTGCCTGCCTTGGCCTCCCAAAGTGCTTGGATTACAGGTGTGAGCTACTGCGCCTGGCCTAGTATTTATTCTTAAAGTTTCAATTCATGTCTTCCTCAACTTTTGAAACTTTTCCACTCTAAAGAGTGACTAAGAATAGAAAAATCTGATTATAATCAAATGGTTGAATATCTATCAAGTTTTAAAATAAACCCAATGTTGGAATATTCAAAGGTTCAAAAATACCAAAGTTCACAATCAAAATTGTCAACCCAACCTCTATATACGTAGTTAACACTCTGTCATGAAAAATATTTTGTTTTATTCTAAGATACCACAGGCATTTTAAGATACTAAAGAATCTTATCAAGGATAACTACTTGGGATTTTCTTTTTAACAAAATTGCAAAATAAATATTTTTCCTATATATTTTCCCTCACCAATCTTAATTCCCAAGGAAGCCGTGCAAACAATAAAATACTATTTGTTTCAGGCTTTCCAATCAAAATATAATGAAAAAGACAACTGAAAATCATGCTCTACTGCAGATCAGGAAATGGCAAACATAGAAGCAGCAACGTAAGTCTAATTCTGGCTACACCCTCTCGCCAAAAACAAAAACAAAAACAAAAAAAACAACAACCCACAACAAGAGAAAATGCTTTAAAAGTGAGTTCTCAAAAACCTTGAGCTTGCCTGCCTATTGTGTATGGAGATGATAAATAGGGCAGATGAAATATACCTAAATATGTAATACAGACCCAATATTTAAAATGAAAAAGAAAAAACTGTAACAACATTTAGGAAAAAAAATTTTTGATAGATTGAAAACTAGGGACTGAGAGAGCAGAAATATTTTAAAAAGTAAAACAGAATGAGAAAATAAAGTAGCAGAGGCCCCTCAAAAGAACTGTTTTTATCTTTTTGTTACAATGATATATATCATACTAAAAGCCATGTGGAAAATTACACATCCAATAGTACTTAACTCAATTTTAGTAAACTAATTAAAACTTCGGTTACAGGTATTATTGAATGAATGAAAAATTATTTTTGTACTCTTTATGACATTTTCCTATATATGACATTTTTCATAAAACATTAAATTAAAAATGAAGTTTTACAACCATCATACACTATTCATCCATGTATTGTACATGACTCAGTATTAAGTCCTTTGCTTTCTGGTATCAATAACTATGCAAAATAAAGAAGAAAAACTACAATAGATAACATTTTTAAAATACAAGTGAAGTTTTTAAAATCAGTATGAAAAACATGGCAAATAGCCCACTATCTGGTACACGACAGTCTGATTCTGAGTAATATTTTAATTCACATATGTTTTATATAGCCTATTTATATATGATCTTAAACACTTTACTTCATAAAAAAAGCTAATTGCCAAGATCACAGAAACTAATAAAGTATCTTTATTCTGATACTTATCTCTGGAATTTATAAATTCATGAATATGGAACTATCGCATTTTTGCCATGAATTTTAGGTTTTGTGTCATATTTTACGGGGGGAAAAAACACTATATTGAGAATAAATGCAAACTAGTATGAACAAAAGAATGAATATTCCTGAAAAAAATATTTAAAATGTCATTACAACAATGAGAAGCACACAGGAAATAAGACTGTAAGCTAGGCATTTTTTCTTCTCAGGAGTAGAGAAATTTTCTTATTAATCCTTTTATCTGGAATGAATGAACACTACTATGTTCTTAAAACATCAAACACACTAGGGTCCAATGGTTACTATGACAAAATGTCGAGGTTTGCTTTAAAGACTATGTAAATGGACTACAAATTAGACTGCAAAGACAAAAATGTATGAGGTTAGGTTTAAATTTGAATAATCAGTCTAGAAAATAAACAACACTACTGAATTCCATCCATGTAGGCAGGCAGGCAGGCAGGCAGAGAATTCAGACAAAGGCACAATTACACTAGTGAATTGTCTGTCAGATCCTAATTCAAAAAGTAAAAGCGTAGCCCCCATTTTAGAAATCTCCAACTTACGATTTAATGATTACATCAAAATAGTACTTACTGAATCTTTAAATAAAATTTTTAGAAAATTTTGCTTGCATTTTTATTTGCTGAACACGACAAGATTAACAATAGATATAATGACTAGCTTGTTGACGTGCTCTCCTACAGAAATTATTCAGAGGACAGAGGACAAAGCTCATTTATTCAACATTTACCCAGCACAATGTTAGGTGCTAGAGAAGACAGATAGATATGATTCCCACTTTCATGAGTTCACAATCTAGACTGAGTTCCATCCTAGATTATTTTAGAATATTTTAAAAGTTTCATAGAAAAAGAAATAATAGCTAAAGAAATAGCACGATAAACTTTATAATGTATATGTTGTTGTTTCAGTCTCTGTAGAAACTCAAAAATTGCCAGTGCCAACTATATTGCAAGTTGTCATGGCGGGGTATTTGGGAAAAATTTTCAATTAGCAATAACTGCGCCTTGGATAAACCTCGGGTATGATACTACCACTGCTCAAAGCTTATATTTTCATGTAATATAAAAGCCCCCTTAATCCTAGTTTCCAGACAAATAAAGAGAATTTTTTCTGATATTTCATTGTTCCAAGAAAATACTTCACTTTTTGGCAGCCCCAAGCAAACTCCTATTTAGATGACTCTTAGAGCGTAAGCATATGAAAATTCTAAAAATATATATATATAAATTAAATTATAATTTATAATAGTATTCCTAGAATTCAGTGTAACTTGTAAGCAATTATCAAGCCTTATGGAAAATTTTTTGTTTACTTTGGATCTAGCAACATAATTACTCTATCACATGTTGGAGATGCTGTTCTAACTGAGCACCGAAACAAATGAAGTACAGGAGGTCCCCCTTATCCACAGGGGATACTTCTAAGACCACCAGTGGATGCCTGAAACAGCAGATAGCACTGAAACCTGTATGTACTAGGTTTTCCCCTATACATATCAATACATTCCTAAGATAAAGTTTAATTTATAAATTTTGCAGAGTAAGAGATCAATAAAATAACTATAATAATACACTGTAATAAAAGTTACGTGAATGCTGTCTCTATCTCTCACTCTCAAAGTAATCTTATTGCATTGTATTCACCTATCTTCAGACTGTGCTTGACCTCAGGTAACTGAAATTGCGGAAAATGAAACCAGAGATAAAGGAGGAAGCTTCTCTATGTACAGAGGATATATAGATGACATTTTAAGAGTGAGTATGTATTAATATATAAGAAACAGGGCCGGGCACAGTGGCTCATGCCTGTAATCCCAGCACTTTGGGAGGCTGAGGCAGGTGGATCACGAGGTCAGGAGATCAAGACCATCCTGGTCAACATGGTGAAACCCTGTCTCTACTAAAAATACAAAAATTAGCTGGGTGTAGTGGTGCACGCCTGTAATCTCAGCTACTCGGGAGGCTGAGGCAGGAGAATCGCTTGAACCTGGGAGGCGGAGATTGTGGTGAGCCAAGATCGTGCCACTGCACTCCAGCCTGGCAATAGAGCAAGACTCCGTCTCAACAACAAAAAAAGAAACAGCAGGGGAAGAGGGAGGCTTTTTCAAACATTCATTTCCCTCCCTGTGGGAATTACCCAGTTACTGTTAATGACAGAAATGTGTTTTATCCCTTAGACTTGGTGGGCAGGGGGAGAGATTGAGAATCTCTATTCTACTGAGTCAATTTGTCTTACAAAAATTGCTGTTATCATCACCACAATACCACCTTAATCCTGTATACCTGTACATAATATGCTAAAGGTAAATTCTGTGGGACTTTGAACCTCACTTCCACATTCCATCTTATCTTTCTAATTGCTGACAAATGTAAGGACTTGACTGTATTTTCTCACCTGCTCTGAGAAATAAGAAAGGTCTATATGGTCTACATTGGTAAAACCAGGAATGAAGAATCCAAACATTCATTGTTTAGGAAGGAATATGCTCTTAAAATGTAGAAACCTATGATTTTAATACAATAAGACAAATTTTTATATATGGATGACCTTCATTCTAATTGAAGCTGCACTCAGTCTCACAAAACTTCCACTGGGTATATACCATTATCGTAAGGGCAATGAAGCGCTGATGAATCCTGACTATCTACATATAGGCTTTCCCACTATTCTAATATTTAACTAAATATGCTGAGAATATTTTATTTCTTATCAATCATAAAGTACTACTAAACAGCACTTCACCAATCCAATAGCCAATATTTTTAACATGACATATGATCACTAAATGTAATGTGGTATCCTGGACGGGGTACTGGGACAGAAAAAGAACACTGACAAAAAATTAGTAAAATCTGAATAAACTATGGAGTTTTGTTACTAGTAATGTACCAATGTTGGTTCCTTAGTTGTGACAAATGTATTAAAGTAATATAAAATGTTAGTAATATGGTAACTGGATATGTGATATATAAGAACTATATAATTTTTGTAATTTTTTCTGTAAATATAAAACTAAAATTGTAAGTTTATGTAAATAAAAAGTCAATGGAAAGGATTAAGATAAGGAATGGGAGACTGAACACACATGAGTTTATAGGGATAACAGTCTTAAGCATCCTGAAAAGATGGGATAGTAAGGGGGACAACTTCTCAAAATTAAAAACAAAGAACAGAATGAGTATATGTATAGTAGATTTTCAAGTTTATTATACAGAAAAGGAGGGAGTTTCCAGTTAATGGCCCCCTTTTA